AGTCAACGAGTATTGGCTGAAACACATCATTTATGTAAGATTTGTAAAATAGATTATGATAATTTACGGTAAATAAATTATACGTAATTCGTAGAAATTTATGTTACCCCAAAAATATCGGAAAACTTGTCGCAACTGTTTGCAAATGTGTTATAGTTTTTTTTATAAAACCGTGAAAAGTGTATTTTAAAAAATATAGTAATTATAGTATGTATTTTAAATAGAATCATATGTATATGTTAAAAATATGGTAAATACGGTTATTTGATACTTTATCGAGGTATAAACATTTTCTAACAACGGTGGTATTTTTAGTAGGGAGAAAATAAAAGTGTCTTATGGTTTTAATTTAGTCGCGAGATATTCTTAAAATATGCAAACCAGGGGCAAGCACACTTTACTACATCTAAAATCTTTAATGCTCTTTTTACTACGTATATACTTCCTCATATTTTAGGGATACGTGCAGCAATTTTCTGGTATATATTTTACTGTATACTAGTTAATAACCTGGACTATCTTAAATACATGCAATCTGTAGTATAATAAGTTTATCGTCTATTAAATTACTTTGTGAGCACCTAGTTTTCAACTTTTTTTAAATAATGAAAATTACACGGTAGAATATATGAAATATTAATAAGTAAGAAAATTGTGACAGTGTTTCTTGAAATTATTGATTTTCATACTTCTTAACAACTGAATTTTTAATTAAAATCTGTACAGTGTACCGTTTTCTCTTTTTGTAATTTATAATTTCAGCGTAATATCGTTTGAATTTATTCGAATATTTAAATTATTGCAAAATTAATGTAAACGACTGTTTTTATAAATGCAAATACCATCGTGATGCAATATACAGTAGTGCGCACATAAGGGTCCCGACTGCGGACACTTAAGTGGGGAAGGGACTTCTGCGAATTTAACTAAAGAAAACAGAGGAGATGTGCCTGAGTGGGATACCGATATATCAAGTGTCAGTTGTTCACATTCCTGAGTCGATATCGAATTACATACTTTGTTTCACTCGGCACGCTCGAATTCCACTCCGACATCCCATTTCCAAGACTTGGTGGGGATAGCGACGGACGCTTAAGTGTGCAAAAATGCAGACGCTTATGTGTGCACTACTGTACTAATTTTCCGAATTTAACGAAATTTTGTCGTAAATATAAAATAAAAGGACGACGACAACGAACCATGTTACATCTTAAATATGTAGATTAGATAAAAAACAGATTACATAAAAAATATTATGTACCACAACTCTCGGATTCTAATTAACGAACATTATTAGAACATTACGAACGATTGGACACGTAATCAATCGTTGACGAATAATTAGCGTGGAACAGCTAGCATGTAAGAAACACAATCCTGTCTATGAATATTTCTTATTGATTTGTGTGTAATAATAGAATATTCGTCTGAAATCGTTGTACTCAAAGTACCTCAATTAAGTTTCCTTTCCATTGCATAATTTCAGAAATATACTACACAAGGTACACTGCCTTAGCTGCCTGGCTACACTGTCCTTAGAATTCTTACACGTAGGTGAACTAAATGATTGACTAAAACAAAATTTCCAAAAAATATTCCGTAATTTATGTATCAGTATTTTTTGTGAGTTTAAAAAAGGAAAAAACAAAATTCACAACAAAGTTTACGATATTAGCAATTTGCACGTGTAAAAAGGCAGTTTGTAGATTGTTAAACGATTTGGTTTGTTTTTTATCCTTAGAGGCTACATAATTATGTCGAACGGATATCATCTATTATGGCGAACGGTCGTTAAACTCTGAACATAACTAGTCGTTAATAGAGATCGAAAAAATTTTCTCCCGACAAGTTTCTACGTCACCAGAATTCTTGTTCCTTTCATATACATAGTATTATCACTGTTGCAATGAGAATTGTTGATGTTACACGAAAACCGACTTGGCTAAATCTGTAAGTGTACATAACAAGGAGAACGTTAACATCGATGCTGAACTTTATCCGCGTTCGCTTCGTTATCGTGAAATGTATTTCATTTAAATACATAATACGTATTTTATATCCATATATTACGTAGACCTTTACTTACTACACTGTTGAAATGGTAAGCAAATGAGTTATGCCATGATTGTTTTGTTTACAAAGAGAATTGAAATTTTTTTTAATTATTAACCATTAAGGCTCGATGGACATCTTCATTTTGTGCAAATAGAGCAATAAAGAGAAATGAAAGATAAATAAGTCCAGCTTGGAAAATTTTATTGTATCAAACGATTCAATTATATTTACTAATCTAACAATAAATAAATATTCGAAAGTAGATACGTTTAACTTAAACCTAATATACAAGTAATAATTTATTGCTAAAATATGCAAATTTTTTCAAATCAGATGTTTCTAACCTATTTTGACAAATATGTGTAGTGCCTACATTAAATTGATGAAACGTTTAAACATGGTAATCTTTCCGTTATTTTAAATAATATACGAGTAATTAATAATAATAATTTTTGTCAAAATAAAAAGTTTCGAGTAGAATGAACTAATTATAATAATAATTACAATTCTTCATTTACGCGCAATATTTTTACAATTTCCCCTTTTATCTGGCGTTACAAATAATATGGCATTCATATATCAATCCATCCACGTGAAAACACCGCGTGAAATCTTTTCCATCGCGACGTGAGATGCCAAGAAATCTTTGTCTATGTGAAACAATAGGCGGGACAAGATTTCCTTCTAACATTTTCATTCCTCGCATTTTAATCGGTTTCTTTTGATATTCTTTGCGCACGACGCTTAGTTCACCAGCTGCCGTGAAACAACAATTACATTAGCTACATTATCTGAAAAAATTGCAATTTTTTATACCTGAATTACGATAAACATCTTTCACTTTTCCTCGTAACACAATAAAATATGTATCGTATAAACGTAACTGTCACGTGATTTTTAATAATTTGTTTAATCGAAAAGCATTTGTCTCTAAAGAGGCAATTCTGCATAGTCTCTTTAAAATTCTTCTGGCGCCAGAATTATTCTTCCAGGAAGTAATTAACAAGCTCTTCAAAGAATGTATTATGCATTACAACGACAATAACATAAGTAAAAAATTTCTAAATTTTTAGAACCATGTTCAGCTTCGAATTAACAAATGAACAAATTTATAACCCTTAAACGATATTTTCATGTTTAACATTATTCGAAACTAATTCCGAAATATTTACATATGAACCTCGATCATCGAACATGTATATTTGGAAAATTAAAAAATAACAGAAAAAGATTTCAACTATCCCTGTTAATTATTTAAATATAGAAAATAACAATGAACGACAACCAATAAGAGCAGACTATAACCTTCTCCATAGACATGTTCCAATTTTACAAGATAAGAAAAAAATAATAGATTTTAGAATACTCACCTCGCCATATTTACGATTTATTTTCCTAAAAACATCGAAACAATGTTTGTACCGTGTAAGAGACGTTACTTGACGCGAAATGGACATCTTTTGCGCGGAATCTACGGAATCAAGCGCAAAGTAAATACAGTCACCACGGTGGAGAAATATTACTCACGAACGAACACGCATTTTCGAGAACTCACCCGTGGACTCCTGGCATATTTGTGGGCATATTTTAATGGTGTCTGTTTGCAGCGGCTCAAGCGGCTCTTGGAGCACTTGACGAGCTTCCGTTTTCCTTTCTTGCGACCCTTTTCACCGGTTTCTGAGAATAACATCGTCAAACACTTCAGACGAATATTTCCCTTATATTATTCATTATTAGTGAGAAACTTTTAGACACGCTAGATCGATCGTCGATCATTAAGATTAATTTTCATCGCATCGATAATTGTGAGATTACGATTTGCCCTAAAGGTAAATTCCTGTTTAGATTTCCAATGATGAACCTACAACTTACAGTTAGTAGATCATTTGCGTTTGTATATCGCGATTGAATGTGTAACAGTATACATTAAGGGACGATAAAGATAGTAAACTGGAAATGTATCGTTCAAAGGAGCATTTATGATCGAATAATAATGTAATTACAACGTGGATTGAATATGTTAGATAGGAATTAATTACTTTTGATATTACATTAATTACTTTGTGTCCCGTATAAATACTAATTTATAAATTCTATCTAATGTAAGTATTGGACATAAATGATTATTGAAGGAATTACAAATTATAATTATACGTCTATATAGAAATGTATTAAAGAATTAAGTAAATTAAGATAGTAGTTTGATTATGAATCGAATATTTCTATATGATCACCTTATAGAAATTAATTACTATAGCTTTATCACTGCAACACTAAAACGCAGTTCGATTTTTTATACATTTATAATTATCGTACTTCAATATTTTATTTTTATTCTAGACGATTTTAACGTTATTTTAATTTTAAATTCAAATCAGCGGACCGGTCGTAATGCGCGTGCGCAATGAAGAGATCTGTCAGGTCTGTAAAGAAACTGGCATAAAAACATCTAAACATAACCTTCCGTGTTTAAAAGTTGTTGACGTTCAGTGTCCTTTTTCAGTTTTTGTAAGTACGTATTGTTGGTAACGTTCGTGCGACGTGAAAATTCATAGTTTGATAGATAATTTCTTCAAAAACAGTATGGAGGAAATGGACGTGGGAAACGAAGAGAGCAACGGTAAGAGTCTGCGCGAAAATTTAGCGGACGACAAGGAGGACAAGTCCGAATTGATTGAAGATGAAGCCCATGAAAATATGGACGATGAACCTGCTGACAACGAACTTGTTGACGACAATCAGGATGAAGATGATGATGAAGAGGATGCCGATGAAGCTGAAGTTAAAGTTTTGTTAGCCACTCTTGCTGAGAATCCATACGACTATACGACTCACGTATCCCTCATCAACAAGTTTAAAAAAATGGGCGAATTGGAACGATTACGTACCGCCCGAGAGAATATGAGCTCTAAGTATCCCTTGAGCCCTGATCTCTGGCTATCATGGATACAAGATGAAATTAATCTATCTACAACACCGGAACAGAAAGCTGAAGTAGTAAATTTATGCGAACGAGCTGTTAAGGATTACCTTTGTATGTTTCTTCTAATATAATGAATGTACTATCTATTTTCTATAAGCTAGTTTATTATATGAAGCTTTTGTTTTAGCTGTAAAGGTATGGTTGGAATATTTGCAGTTTAGTATTGGTAATATGGGTACAGAGAAAGATGCGGCAAAGAATGTCAGACAATTATTTGAACGAGCATTAACAGCTGTTGGGTTGCATACTATCAAAGGTGCAATAATATGGGAAGCATTTAGGGAATTTGAAGTTGTTTTATATGCATTGGTAAGTATATAATGGTAAATTATTTAAAAAAATTTTAAAACATTTTTATAACTGAATTTTAAACATTTAGATTGATCCTTTAAATCAAGCTGAAAGGAAAGAACAGTTGGAGCGTATTGCAAACCTGTTCAAAAGACAACTGGCTTGTCCTCTTTTAGATATGGAAAAAACATATGAAGAGTATGAAGCATGGCATTATGGAGATGGTGCTGAAGCTGTTATTGATGACAAAATTGTTGCTGGTGGGTATGAACGCGCACTTAAACAGCTTAACGTCCGTTTACCTTATGAGGAGAAGATTGTCTCTGCACAAAATGAAAACGAACTACTAGATTCGTATAAAATATATTTATCATATGAAAAACAACATGGAGACCCAGGGCGAATTACTGTTCTATATGAGAGGGCAATCACTGATCTTAGTTTAGAAATGTCGATTTGGCTTGATTATCTTACATATTTAGAAGAAAATATCAAAATTGAATCTGTCTTGGATCAAGTGTATCAAAGAGCTTCAAGAAACGTCCCTTGGTGCGCAAAAATGTGGCAGAAGTGGATGCGATCGTATGAGAAATGGGGAAAAACAACGTTAGAAGTACAAACGTTATTAGAAAATGCTTTAGCGGCCGGATTTTCTACTGCAGAAGATTATCGAAATTTGTGGATAACATATTTGGAATATTTACGACGAAAAATCGATCGGTATTCTACCGCGGAAAAAAAGCAATTAGAAATACTGCGCAATGCTTTTAATAGGGCTTGCGAACACTTGGCAAAATCTTTTGGCTTGGAGGGAGATCCCAATTGTATTATACTACAATACTGGGCAAGAACTGAAGCCATACATGCCGCTAACATGGAAAAATCTAGAACATTATGGGCCGACATTTTATCACAAGGACATTCCGCGACAGCATCTTACTGGTTAGAATATATTTCGTTAGAAAGGTATTTTCTTGTTTTATTTCAAATAAATATAACATCGTATTACATATTTTCTTTTACAATGTAAAATTATTTTATTCTGTATGTAGTTGTTATGGAGATACAAAAAATTTAAGGAAATTATACCAGAAAGCATTGGCCTCGGTGAAAGATTGGCCAGAAAGCATAGCAAATGCTTGGATGAATTTCGAACGTGACGAAGGAAAACTGGAGCAAATGGAACTTTGCGAGGCACGAACGAAAGAGAAATTAGACAAGGTTGCTGAGGAAAGACAGAAAACGCAACAAACTTGCAGTCATGAGTTATCACCATTACAAAGCAAAAAAACTCATAAGAGAAAACAAGACGATATCGGTAAATGGAAGAACCTAGGAGGCTCACCGACAAAGATTACGAAAGTTGAAATACAAACAAAACAAAAGTCAAAAGAAAGCCGACTAAACATCGAAAAAAAAGTCGATGCTGATACTGAAGAGCAAAAATCGAAAATTGCTCCGCCACCTGGCTTCAAAGCACCGGATAATGAGCAAACAGAAGCAGACGCGCACGAAGTCGATGACAAAATCACTGTTTTCGTAAGTAATTTAGACTACACTGCGACCGAGGAAGAAGTTAAAAATGCTTTAGAACCGGCTGGACCGATCACAATGTTTAAAATGATACGAGATTACAAAGGACGCAGTAAAGGATTCTGTTACGTGCAATTAAGCAACGCGGTACGAATTATTTCTCTTTCAATTAAATATTTAAAAAATTTAGCACATGTGGTTTTTAATTTAAAAAATACAATTTTTATAGGAAGCAGTTGAAAAAGCTTTGAAATTGGACAGAACTCCCATAGGAAGACGACCAATGTTTGTTTCAAGATGCAATCCAAATAGAACACGAGGAGCAGGATTCAAATATAGTTGCACTCTTGAAAAGAATAAACTTTTTGTTAAAGGTATATAATATCTAAATTTACTTCTAAATTGTAATTTCGTTAAAAACAAAATTATTATCTTTATTAAACATATAGGACTTCCGGTAACGACAACAAAAGAGGATCTAGAAGGCATCTTCAAGGTTCATGGGACATTAAAGGAAGTCCGCGTTGTTACTTACCGCAATGGTCATTCCAAAGGACTGGCTTACGTTGATTTCGAAGACGAAAATAGTGCCGCGAAGGCACTCCTAGCCACCGATGGGATGAAAATCGGTGATAAAGTAATTAGCGTAGCTATAAGCCAACCACCTGAACGCAAAAAGGCTCCAATGACCGACGAAATGGTTACGGTCAAGTCTCTAGGTGGTACTACAGTAAGCAGAACTACATTCGGTATGCCAAAAACATTATTATCTATAATACCTCGTACTGTAAAAATCCCTGCTACTAACGGCAGTGCAAGTGTTTCTGGGAATGGTGTCCCTCCAAAAATGAATAATCAAGATTTTAGAAATATGTTACTGAATAAAAAATAATTTACTGCAACATCATTTACTAACTTATTAAATCCTTGTTTACTTCAAGTGGTAAGCTTTCAAATACGTAAGAGTACCAACATTAACAAAATTCACGTATTTCTTCTTAAGAGAAAGGAAAACCAAGAACCACAAGTTCTTACAAAATAAATACGTTTAATGTAAGACAGTTTATATATATATACAGGATGAAAATGTGTGTGCAAAGTGTGAGCGCGTATTACTCTAAACGCGAAACGACAGCAACTTCCCCATCATATATACATCACAGTGTCACAAAGGATACTTTTCATGCGTACAAACACGCTCGATAGAAAAATGGTTCGAACTGTTTCAAGTGAGGAAACAAGTAAGGGAAGTTGCATCGCGAATACATAGTAACAATAAATCAGGGTGACCATTTATCCTCGTTCTTAACGAGACTTCTTCTTTATATATCTTAACCTATCGAACAATATAAAAGAACGGTGTAAAAAGTTCTTAAAAATAGCATTTACAAAATAATTGTCACAGAATCACTGGATTCTCCGTTTTTGCATAGTTGGTCACCCTACGTTCAAGTGTTAAATGTCTCTCTACAGCTGCAATGGTGCATTGGACGTGTTGTATTTTTTATGCCTCGGTGGAGCGACAGGTGGACTTTCAGGTGTCAATACCCGCCTCGACATAAGCCACTTTTTGGCTCGACCAGAGTGATAATAATAAGAGTAAAGCAACGCCATAGCTGCCAGTACAACCAGCAGGCACGTACCAGCGATAATGATACTGTATAACCAATACGGCCCACTTGGTTCTGGCACCAAAGTCGGCTCTGTCGGCGATTTTTCTCCCGGAGCCGATTTCGATGGTGGCTCTGTAGAGGGTGCAGTCGGTAAAGGCTCTACGTCATCTCCGATGGTAATGTCGGCACAAGAACGAAACTCCTCTTGAGGACCACAACCCACAGCTCCTGTAAACACGTTGTTTAAGGGTTATCCTTATGAGTAAGTGCTATATTTTCAAATTTTAACGGAGGTGAGTATACATATACGTCCAGTATTTTATTCGTTTACATACTATGTATAAGAAACAAAATTTGTAAGATTTCTTTTACTTTAAAAATGTTGGAAGATAGAGTGTAATTTAAATAAAGGGTAAATAGGCGCGCGATTCAATTTTCTTTAATTTTTAATGTTGATTTTGTTTTCTTTAACAGAAATGTGTGGAAGTTTTTGTTAATTGAATGCACGATTTATTCGCACATTTTAAATGCACGTTTCTTTTGTATTAAAATTTTTTTGTAAATTATTTGATTTATTTTTCGTAATTAAACTTCCACAGTGATAAGTAGCTTTGAATACACGATAACCGATGATCCATGATAATCGGTTTTGAATTGTTCTCAGAAAGTTACTTCGAAGGTGATTTTTTAAAAGCGATAAAAATTATTTTCGGTATATTGAAACTATTTTGCAACGAATAGTTCCGAGAATTATACTGATAAATTAAACGCGAATTGCTGTATTCTAAAATAACGTGCTTGAAATTATGAAAATGCAAACATAATTATAGACAGTTTTGTAATAATGTTTATACCCGAGACCTGAAAGTAATAAAATTATTGGTAAATGGTCGACCTTATTGAATACCGATAGCCATTAAGTAATAATGCATAGTCTGTACTAATTGAGCAATGCTTATTACATGCAAAAAATTAATACCTTCCATCTGTACTTTAGTTGAATACTAATATTATTTTATCTGTGTGTTGAGCATTACAAAACGTTTAGTTTCACCATTGTATAAATTGACGAACGATTTGTCAATATTTTTCTAAGAGAAAAATTAAACGGAACAAATGTAATATCTACGAGTAATTAGATTTTTCACAACTTGCCGAAATTCTTCAAATACTAATTACAACCGTGGTAATTAAGAAACACAGGATATTTCTATTTCATTTCATTAACACGTTCTGTGAGCCACGATAATTATCAAGAGTAAAACTTTTTTTTTCACGTGAAGAAAGTATTTTTCAGTTCAGTAATTGGATGAAATTTTAACTTCGGTTTAACTTAAAATCGTTACTTCGGTATAACTAACGATCACAGAAAAATAACAATTATTTTCTCTTTTTAAATAATCCATAAGCTGTGAATTAAAAGAAATAAAACTATCCCAAAATTCCATACATCAAAAATTGAAAAAAAGAAAAGAAGAAGAAAACTATAATCAGGACTTTAATCATCTCCAACCCCTGTGCCAAACTCCGCATACAAAAAAGTAATCTGAGTCATCATTCTACTTGCCTGCTGGACACTATCAATACTGTTGCGAGCATTGTATGCAATCTCTGAATTAAGAAAACGATCGATCGTCACCAACCGACTCTAATCGATTTGTCAGTCTGAACCGAACCGGAAATAGAGACAGACATCACGTTGAATTGCTCTTCTTTATTGAACAAAGAGTTGTCCTTTAATGAACGAAAAGTGCTTTTTGTATTTCATTTTAATTAAATATGTGAAATGAAAAAATTTCAGCACCGAACAATACTTGAATCGTTTACGCTTTGTCTAAGGAATATCAAATATCCGGAATGAAAGCAAGTACAACCCGAACCAATCAATACCTGGGGATCATCTTTCTTAACTCTCGAACGAGCAAACGTCTCATTCAATAATTTTCATTCACAACTTCTCCCGATATCCTCTGAAATTCAATCTCTCTCTCTCTCTCTCTTTTTCTGCACCATTTCAAGCAACATCTCCGCAACAACAATCCTCCTCGGTGCCTGTACGAGACTTTTGTTGCCGAACGGTGTCTGTTGAACATCCATCCGGGCCGGGTGGCTGGAACAAAACACGCGGGATACACTCGTCCCGGAGTTAAGTGGAACAGAAATTTGTGCCATTGAAAAAGTCGTGCCCAAGTTCGTTTATCCAAAGGCTGCTGGCAGGCAGCTAGCAATAGCTAAGCTATCTCTCGCTCGGTGAGACGCGGCTCGCATTCGAATTTCGACACAGAGAGAGAGAAAGAGAGACCAGTGAGAGCAAGAGTGAGAGGGAGAGAGAAAGAGTGAGTGCAGAGACGGGAGAGAAAAGAGAAAGAGTGAGTGGAGAGACGAGAGAGAGGAAGAGTGAATGAAGAGACGAGAGAGAAGGTGTAAGTGAAGAGACAAGAGAGAGGAGAGAGACAGTGAGCGAAAAGACGAGAGAGAAAAGAGACGAGAGAGAAGAGAGAGAAGAGAGAGAAAGAGACGAGAGAGAAAAGAGAGAAAGAGACGAGAGAGAAGAGAGGAAAGAGACGAGAGAGAAGAGAGAGAAAGAGACGAGAGAGAAGAGAAAGAGACGAGAGAGAAGAGAGAGAAAGAGAGGAAAGAGAAAGAGTGAGTGGAGAGACGAGAGAGAGGAAGAGTGAATGAAGAGACGAGAGAGAAGGAGTAAGTGAAGAGACAAGAGAGAGGAGAGAGACAGTGAGCGAAAAGACGAGAGAGAAAAGAGAGAAAGAGACGAGAGAGAAGAGAGAGAAGAGAGAGAAAGAGACGAGAGAGAAAGAGTGAATGAAGAGACAAGAGAGTAGAGAGAGACGGTGGGTGAAGAAACAAGAAAGAGCGAATAAAGAGAGAAGAGAGAGGAAGAGTGAATGAAGAGACGACAGAGAAAAGAGAAAAAGAGTGAGTGGAGAGACGACAGAGAAAAGAGAAAAAGAACGAGCAAAGAGACAGGAGAGAAAAGAAAGAGAGAGAGTATAATGTTGCACGTAACGCGAAACGTTACTGAAAACGTCGTACAATACCTGTTCCGTTTCCGCAGTCGCCCCAATTATTTCCAGCCACGTATCTCCACTGAAAGACGCATTGAGCGCAAGTCAGCTTGTCTGGCAATTTGTAGAAAGCCTCGAAAATCTTATTCCCCGGGCCAGGATAATATCTGATCGATCCGTTCTTCGATTGTAACAGATACTGGTCCAGACAATCCTGATCAACTTCCTTCCCCTTGTAGGTCATCGCGCACGTACGGAATTCGAAGTACCCGTGATGATTCGCTGTCAGCTCAACGCGGACCGGTATCACCGAACCTGTTCGGTATTTTCGGACGATCACGCCGTTTCCGTATTTCCCGCCGGTTTCGTGTAGACGAGGCTGTAATCCAGTTAACACATCCAAACGCTCAACATTCTGCTACAAATACCGAGTGAGTAATATTAAACCACTACTGTACACTCCCGTTCATAAGTTATGTATCAGGACACTTGTCGAATGCGAAGTAAACTTAACGAGTCGTGAAAAAATTATTCAGATCCTGCAGAAAAATGTTTCAGTCTGGAATCTCGTGGTAAAATGTCTGTTTTTTCTGTATTCCTGTAGTCTGACGTATTTTTATAGTATTACGCATGGTGTTTCTATAGATTAGGTTAGGTTTGGTTATTCGTAGGTAATAGTATAAAAATACGTCAGCAAAATTCACCGCAATAGCTGTATTTACTTATACACTTCAAAATCGGTTTCATACTAAACCAAGACAGCCTATGGAATGGTTAAGAAGATTGCAAAAAATTACCGACTTTGTCTCCTAGAAAAGTTAACTTAGTTAAATTCTTCTTTAACTTATCGTAAAAATCTGCAAACAGACTTAATCTCTTTTATTACTATTCCTGCAATATTATTATTGTACATGCAAACGTGCAAACCACGCGCGTGTATAACACTCGAAACGATATACAGAGTGTCCTATTTTTTTCCGATTTTCTACAGGTGTAAATAAGAAAAAAGTGTTGTATAAATATAGGTTGTTTGAAACTTTACCAAAATATTACAGCAAAAATACTATTCAAGACATCGTATTGTGTACAAAAAATAGTTAAACTTTGCCCTCTTCTATTTTTTCCCCTTAAATCTACCACGTACGAGAGAAACGCTGGAAATTCATAAGACGAACACCCTGTATATTTTTACTGATATCTGATACCAACTTCAGCGGGAAAATGTAATTTAAATCGTACGATATCGAGTGAAATGTGACATCGTGTCTTAATACTTAATTAAAATTTATGATTTCTGAAAATTCATAAATAACGTTGCACCGTTATTAAAGAATTCTTACACGGATAAACGTGTAGCTAGACAGTTAAGTGATTTCTGAGAAAGCATCCCTAGAACGGAATGCGAAAAAAGCGAGTAAAACACGTGGAAAAATTTCTATTTTCTCTTTTTAAACGGTGTCAGTATATTACGAAACACGCTGATACCATAATTGTTCGCGTTGCATTGGCGCAGTATTATACAAGGTGAATCGATCAAAAGTTACACGTCTTATACGATTAATGATATTCAAAAATGGTAGAACGATTTCACAATGTCTACTTTTGTTTTTCAACGCAACAACACACAGTGAGAAAGTGCAGTTACGCTCTGTTTTTAACCTCTGTTACTTAACCCCTTAACCTATGATTTCTTTTCTGACTATGCATCTAAGCGTCAGCCATTTTCTATTTCAGTACTGTATCAGGTAACAAAAACTAATCTGTCACAAATTAATTACATTCAGCAATCCTCAGTCTTACAAATTCAAACAAAAGTTAGGATTACAATTAACTTTTCTTGCTAATATAACGATTTTTCTCACATCTTCGCCAGAATCTCTGCCACGTGTCTGACGCGTTGTCATATGTCAAGGGGTTAAAAAAGACCAGTTAACTTTTTATTGTATGTCTTTATTGCACTAACATTTACCATAACCAAAAACAAAAAAATAACTCGTTAGAATTTCTCCTATCTTCTAATTACATACATAAGAATTTAATTTTTTTTCATTGAGAAATTAAACAAGTTAACAAATTGAATGAATCCGCACGTTTTCTCTGACGTAAAAACCGTTGAAGTAATTATCTACGAGCCTGAATTTATTCAAATTCTTAACTACCCAATGCATACAACATTTGAATATTTATCGTCCGTTACAACGTTCGATCCACAGATAAATCATTCTAACGTGTACACAGTCGTTAAAATGAATTAGAAGGCAGGTTAACAATTTTCATCACGACGTTCGATCTACAGATAAACAACTCTACCAGACACGATCGTTGGAAAGATCGTAAATTAAGGTGTTAATTAGACGGCAGATGAACAATTACCGTTACAACGTTCGATCCACAGATAAACAATTCAAACAGATACAATCGTTAGAAGTATCGTAAATTAATGGAGTTAATTAGACGACAGGTTAACAACTTTCATGCCACTTGGCTCTCACCAGAAATCCATTATAGGACCGTAGTTAAGGGGAGAGACGCTAAGTAGATAGTAAACTAAAGCGACTACCGTTTTTCATTGGGCGAAATAAAATATATAACAGGTGGAAGTATTTTTCTATTTAATAATTGAACAGAGAAGCCACGAAAGGAGATAAAACCGTCGAGATACGTTAGCTTTCCTGTAACTAAGTATCCGACGTAAATTTTATCCACGGTCTACGTATACATACACGTATCTCGGAAGTTCCGCTGAAACTTTTCATTTCATTAATGGCGAGGTGTGTGCGTGTGCGAGTAACGGGAATTTAAAAAAAGAAAGAAAATCGTTGGACGGTGTTCGAAGTTCTCCTAAGTCTTCTTAATTACTTGCACATCTTGATAAAAATTAGACTTTGACGGGGGAAAGTTTGCGCCATCGGTGGTAAATGATGCGCGTAACGCGTCGCTAAAAGCAGGTGGAAATCTGCGTTACCTGTGCGCGCGTAACCGAAGGAAGATATAAAATGCGCCGGTAAAAATTCGTAACGTTTTATACGGTTACTCGGTTAACGAGATGGAAAGTTGGAAAGGAGTAAATTACGAAAACTGACGGGATTACGGGAATTGATATAATCAGTTGACACGATTAAAAGCAACGGTTCAGCCGTTTTTACGCCCGACATTTTCGCCGAAGGAAATTTTTTACCCGGCGGGAGGTTTTAGATGGCTAACTTGGAAGAATTGAAGGGAAAAAGGTCGTTTAGCGAATCTTATGTCGGATCATTTATGACACAGATCTGACGAGGAAAATATTAAAAAGTTCGTTTAATCGTGAATATTGGTTTCGAATTTAAATATTAAAGGCAATGTGCGTATTTTCGTGGAGCACAAGAGTTTCGAGATCGCTGATTTGTAAAGTTGCGATTAAAATTTGATATGAAAAAAAAAAAAGTAATTTCGCAAATTTCGTGTCAAATCATTTCTGACAGAGATCTGATGGGGAAAATATTAAAAAGTTCATTTATTCACGAATATTGGTTTCGAGTTTAAATATTAAAAGGAACATGCATAATTTTATGGATTAGAAGAATTTCGAGATAATCAATTTGTAAAATTGTATTAAAATTTTTTTACAAATTCTTCAGAATCACCTTTCTCGACAACTTCAATTCTGCAAACTTTCATAGGGTAATTTCCACTTCTATTTTAGTATTTTTTTTTTTTTCTATTCTATCCTTAGATTAAAATTTTTCGATAAATCCTCGAGGTCCACTTTTCTCGTACATTTCTGTTCTTCGAATTATCACGGGGTAATTTCTATTTCCGTTTTACAATTCTCTTTCTGTTCTCGTAGCCAGGTCGAATTACGCGAAAAACAGTAATTTTCGAGTTTTGCAAGAGATATTTTTGGAGAGGGTGTTGAAACCGGCATTGTTGAAGATACGGCCGTATGTCCGTCCGACAGACCGGAAAACCGCAAATAGTAATTTATTCTGTGTTGTAAGAACGTAGCCAAGGGATAATTACGCGAACTTCACAATGGAATCGCCGTGTTTGACGCATCCTTCTTTCTCTCTGTTTAATGGGATTTCTTTTATTTAATGTAACAGCGGTTTACTTTTTCTGCTTTTGCCGCTATTTTTTCGTTTCCCCGTAACCGGGTGCAGAGATCAAAAGATACGTTACGAATGCAAGACTTGTTACGAATGCATAAAGCTCGCAATCACCGTATAGGTGAGCTAATTGATCATTTCAAACAGTGAATTCAGCTTGATAAGGATAAACTCGAAGGAGATGATCGATAATTTATGCTAGCTGTTGAGATCTCACCATGCACATGGAACGTAAAATACAGACTTTGGAAATGAACGTGAGAAACGTTACAAAATTTGTTTAATTTATTCTCAGTTCAGTAGAATTCTAACGACTGGTGGTATAGTTTAAAAGAGAAAAACAGAAGAGAAGTGTCTGGTAATTAAAAGAATTTATTTGAAAAATGAAGAGTATCTACGAGTAAAATGCTTTTCATTTTTAAATATTTAGAATTCTTCCTTGACTGAAAAAGACGTTCCAGTTTTTATCCATAATTTATGCCAGCCTTAGAGATATCATGGTACGAGTGTAACGTAAGATACAAACTTTGAAAATGAATCGAGAAAATGTTAAAAAACTTCTTAATTTATTCTTGCTTTAATAGTAAAATTCCAGGAACTAGTAGTATAATTAAGAAAATATGAATTATTTAAAACAAGGAGAAAGAAATCTTCGTTTTAGAGAAGAAGAATATTTATTATTAAAATGCTTTTCATTTTTAAATATCTAGAATTCTTTCTTCACTGAGGAACACTTTTTTAAACATTGCAAAATAAACACCTTATGTATCATTTTTCCTTCTCTTCCACGACTGGATATTTCATCGCGTATTTATTTGTTAAATGTTTCACTTGAATACTTTCACGAGTGAAATGACGAGGGAAATCAATTTATTTGAAAAAAGTATTCGCCTCCGTTTGAAAGACGATGTAATTGCGCCTCACAAATAGGTGGTTACACTTACGAAAAAAGGAAGTTCGCAGGAAGGTAAAGCTCTTTAAACCATTCAACTATCTCCCTCTACCATCCCCTTTTTGTTTTTTTTCTTTTTGCAAGCGAAAGAGAGGCAGAGTTGTCCCAGTTACGTGGCTCACCCCGTACATATTTAGCTGGCTTCCTCGACGTCAACTTTAAGTAAACTAAAAAATTTACGTGTCCTTTCTCCATTCTGACGAAATGAATTTATTTATCCCAAGTTTGTAACTGCCCATTTATATAAGAATCGCGCAATAATTGCTGGACTTGGTAAAATTTTATTGTTGTAGCTGAAGCAATTGTTCGGTAAAAAAAAAAAAAAAAGAGGTAATTCTGAAGAATGTCTTACTCTAACTGTTTCCTAAAATCTTACTCGTTTCACGAAATCTGTTATGACTTTTCTTGAGATATCCTTTTATTAGCAATAATTCTTTATTCTTTTCTTTTTTCATTAATTGCCTAAGTTATTTTTTTGATTTATTTTTATTTTCTAAAAAAAATTCACCAGTTAAATGATATTTTAAGACTCGTCACTTGTCTTTGTATCGAATACTTCGAACGTTATAAAATAATGAAATTCGTTCGTGACTAGTGTACCACTCGTTGGAAAAATTGCTAAAATTTTGCTGATAAAATGATTTTCCAACGATTTGAAAAGTATTTTCATTTTCATTTCGTTTTCTTAATAAATTCCCTCGTCCTTCAACTTTTGCTGCTATCACCGCGAAGCAATTCAATATGCCAAATAGCCTTGTTGTCGACAGAAGTAGGGAACGGTAAATGAAATTGATCGATAGCGATGCAACGCGAATTACAATTTTTTCAGCCTCGTTGCACGCCCGATCCTTCGCTATATCGTTACTCCGATCATTTGTCCCATCTATTCCGCGCTGCTACCGTTTCCTTATAAGAATTTCAGGTGCTTCGAATTTAATACAGTTAGATTCTGGTTCACTTCACGTAGGAGTTAAGGTTTCCTGTACAGGTACCGTTACATAAATTCCAATTCGGGAATTTCAATATCGCGTAACCGAAATGAGAACCGAGGATTTGCCATTCTGAAGATACAACTGATGTACAGGGTGGGCCACGTGAAATAGATCGCCCAACTATCTTCCTTAGCTATTGTGGTACCAGACAATTTTCACACGCAATTTAAATGGTCTGAAAGATAAAGTGGCGAAAAGTGAAGGAAAGTTTCACATTGGCCTAAAATGTAAAATTTTTAATTTGAAAAATTTTAATTTTTAATTTTGAGATTGTAGAATTTTTTATCATTCAAATTAATCGAGATGAGGTAAACAGCTACTGATCTCCACAACGTCAATTCCAAATCTATAAAGAATTAGTAGTTAGAAGATTCTAAAGAAATAAAACTAGTATTGATAAATATAGAAATATATCGCGTGTTCATATTTGCAAATGATAGATGAAAGATCGTTTGTAATTTATCTAGCATCAGCATATTTTGCATATTTGTTAATCCTTTTCTTTAGAGTACGCATATACATAATGATATTAATGTAAATTGTGTGTACTAGAATTTGCTTACCATAGGGGCATTTACAATTCAAATTAGAAGCAAACTACTTTATCGATCGAGGAAGTTCATTTCAATCACTCTACTTCCTCGTTCTTATTAAACACGTTTTTTTCTCTCGAATGATAATGGTACACCGTATTTGGTACATTCTAGGTTTACGTTGAAAATATTATGAACGGGAAGGTAAGTAACATCGTAGCAGTTGAATTAGTTCGAAGCAAAAGTTTCGTACTTCTTTCGCGATAACAACAATTTCTATTTTTACTATTTCAATATTTTCGAAAGGTAGAGAATTTACCATGTGAAACCAGTTTGATTTCATGTTAACTAATTCCCTTGTAAATATCTCTCGGCTCTTTTTAAATGCACAGCAATTTCTCCGAGCATTAGTTACGGAACGGATCTTCCACACTTCACTAATGAGGACCAAGCAACTTCAAAATTCGCGTAAATCCAACATGGACGACAAACAATCCATTAAGAAGTTTTCTCTCATTCTCAAAGTAGGCTACCCTTTGAGAAGGGTATTCTCTTACTACTCTCAATTAACTTTTCGTTGACAGTCATCTACAAATTTCATTCGTATCTGAGTATAACAACACTTTCAACGAAATTGCGATTCTTCAGAAGTGAAACTAGTTCAAACGAAATGTGTGTGCGAGAATAATTGGAAAATAGCTGTTATACGTAACGATGTAAAGTTGAAAATAGGAAAATGTTGGAATTACTATTTTCAATCGTGGTATCGTTTAATTAAACAATTTATTATTCAACTCGAAAATCATTTTTTTTTTTTCTAATTAAGAGTAACGGGGGCAAACTTTGAAAAAAATGTTTTTCGAAAATTCTTTACTACGGTAATGTAGAATAACAAAAATTTAACATTTTCCGTATTTTTGACGGTTTCGTGAATATTCGCGATAACGTGAAAAGTGAATTTTTTGAGAGGGTGGTTTCTCCCCTAGGGCGGTTTCATCGCCGAAAAAAAAAATGGTTGTGCAATTAGCGTCACTTGAACTACATTTCCAGAAAGTTTCAAATTTTCCTGGATTCTCGCGTTACCGAACTTCCCTTGTTAGGCAGATAACAATTTAACGAATAATTTCCAAAAATACACTCTATATAGAATAAATAAAAAATTTATTTCAAGCATATTGTAAATCCGTCGGTAAAGGCGAAGCCCTGCCCGCCGATTTTCAATTTCTAATTGAAATTGTTCTAACAATTCTAACACAGAGATCAAGTTTCTCCAGCGCGCTGCGATGTAATTTAATCTTACTAAGAATAGATAATATTATTTAGTATATCTTTGCGTATATATTTCCGACAATATCCAGCACCCCAAAATAACAAAACAATAATAAACATATAACCTACAAACTAAAAATTGAAAAAAACAAATTCTAGAAAACGCGGATATTCAATTTGTCGCACATTTTTTTGCAAATTTTTCATCGGTACCATTGAATCACCCTGTAGAATCCATTTCCAGCAACTGAATCTTTAACGCGCGTTTCTCAACAGAAAAACCTTGTGCAATAACCTCTGCTGTTAGTATCATTCCCTTCCATTTGTGTACACTCCATCATGCGCATGCATTAAAACTTGACAAATTGAAAAGAAGAAAATTCGTGTCTCACCGTTGGAGTGTCCCAGGCATCGCCGCATATTCCACACTTTCCCTTGTTTCGTTGCCACTGCCTGGTGAATCCCCCGCAGTAGCACTCGTGATCGTTGTAATCGTGAGGAGTATCGAAACCGTACCTCCACATCGAGGCCCTCGATGGCGGTTCTATCAGTCTTCCATGGGCTGAAACTTCCTTCACTGCTAGCACGCTTGCGAAAAATAACAGGCATAGAATTTCGAGACGCATGGTTGCAGCTGTAAAATTCGGCCTCTGAAATTTCACGTTACTTCCTTGTTATGTTTGTCAACTTTCTACGCGGGTGTTCGTTATCTCGGTGATTTTTGTTTGCGATTAAAGGATATTGCTGAAATTCGTTTCGGGGGGATCTATGATTGTAGAGACAGACGTTATTGAAAATGAATTTTGGTAATTTTAATGAAATTATCGTCGTCAAAATTTAGCCAGTAATCGAATATGTTACTGCAATCAATTTGGGAATTTAAATACTGAATTATAAATATTGGTAATTTTAATTAAATGATCGTAAACATATCGATCCATGCAAAATTTATCCAATAATCGAATATATTGTGATAATTAGTTTGAGGGTCAGTTTGGAGCTTGCGAAAATAATTACAGAAAATATAAAATGACTATAAAGAACTATGAAAGTTTCATTATTTTGAGTATTTTAATTTTGTATAATTTCTTTTATCGATTGGAGTTTTCAATAGTTTTCAACATTGTCGAGTCATGAGAGTACTTAGTCACTTGTTTTACAACGTTATTCGTTATAAATTTAATTCTAATGTTGAAGATATTATTTATTATTTAGTTTATGACAAGTTTGATTCGATAATTATAAAAAATGGTTTTTCTGTTGTTTTACGTAAGTAAGACTAAGAGAAAAATAAAGTTGTGTTTGGTTTTCATTATTACAAATTCTGAGAGCATTTGAAGCCTGGTAACGAGTTAAAAGCAGAAAGCAGAACCGCTTTTTTAAATAAATCATAATTGAAATTGTAGATCTTAACCAGGTGTTTAAGAAATCGTCTCCCTTCTGTTTAACTAACCATTCAATTTCGAGAAAAAAAGAAATGTAAGGATCTGCCATAATTTCAGAAGCCTTTATAAGTGGCCGTAGCGAAAAAATGACCATTTCTCAATTATACGTGAGGGAAGTTATTTTAAAAAGTATTTAAAGTACCATTCTAGAAGTATAAAAGCAGGTTTAAAAATATTTAAGCTAATATTGAGAAAATTCTCAGCGACCTTAATTTCCATTAAAAGCCAAATGCAAATTAAATCTCTGAAAATAAGAATTATATTAAGCAATTTTAAAGGTTCAACAGAATTTGTATTTAAAGTGTGTAATTACTTAAATACTTCTCACGAAAATCTACAAATATTGGCAAATACAAATATTACAAATTTCATATTTGCAATTTCTTTCGTTTGAAATCTTTTCGAACTGGTTTTCTCCAATCTGATCTTTTCAAAAAAATTCTTGGAATAGGAAAAAGCAATGAAACTTGAAGTAAAAATTTCTGCAAATAAGAAAAGGGAATTAATTTAATTTTCAACGTGATTCTGCAAACAAGAAAATTCTCGAAATGAGAAAATCCTCGAAATGAGAAAAATCTCAAAACGAGAAAATTCTCGAAATGAGAAAAGTTTAAAAGTGAGAAAATTCTCAAGAATAAGACTATTCTTAAAAAGGGGAAAATTCTGGAAATGAGAAAAGTTTAAAAGTGAGAAAATTCTCAAGAATAAGACTATTCTTAAAATGAGAAAATTCTGAAAATGAAATAATTCTCGAAATAGGAAAATTCTCGAAATGAGAAAATTCTTAAAATGAGAAAATTCTGAAAATGAGAAAATTCTCAAAAATAAGACTATTCTTAAAATGAGAAAATTCTGAAAATGAAATAATTCTCGAAATAGGAAAATTCTCGAAATGAGAAAAGTTTAAAAAAGAGATAATTCTCAAAAATAAGACTATTCTTAAAATGAGAAAATTCTGAAAATGAAATAATTCTCGAAATGAGAAAATCCTCAAAATGAGAAAATTCTTAAAATGAGAAAATCCTCGAAATGAGAAAAGTTTAAAAATGAGAAAATTCTCAAAAATAAGAATACTCTTAAAATGAGAAAATTCTGAAAATGAAATAATTCTCGAAATAGGAAAATTCTCGAAACGAAAAAATTCTCGAAATGAGAAAACTCTTGAAATAATTCCTAAAGTAAGGGGAAATACTTAGAAACAGCTGTAGGTACGTGACGCAACGAAATGAATCGAGAATGTAATTTGCTTTTACGACGCGAGCGTGTCAAAGTTTGACGTGTCGGGTTTAAAGTGAAAATCACGAGCAGTGACGCATTGCAAGTAGCTGGTAGACGACGAACACGTCGACTTCGGTACGAAAATTCGCTACAAGTCATTTACATCGAAGTCGATCGATTAGAAAGCTAGCAGCCGCCAGTTGGACACGCTTCGCCTAGGAACAACACGTAAGATTCGCGCGGAAATGCTGTTTCACGGAAACCGGGATAAGATCAATGCCCGTGCGCATTCCGAATTCATCACGCCGCGAGTTTCTATTGTAAACTAATTGCACCAGTATTATACGCTCTTGTGTCTCCTAATTTCATGCTATTTATTTAACAATTTTTCGTTTAATACACAACACATTCAACGAACGTTCAATATTTGAATGAAATATTTTAATATTCAGTATCGTTCGACATATTATAGAATATCGAAGAATTTATATTAACATTTAAATTAAGCAAATATTTAATTACTTGCAAAGTTACAAATTTTTGTTGTTCGTTAAAATGGTTCAAAGCTCGCAATGATATTGTTTTTCACGGAATATTTCAATCTTACTTAAATCATGTAAATCTTATCTGAATTTACATAAACTAAAAGAAATGCGAAAATTTTGCAACAATATTTAAAAACTGCTTCTTTCTTGAAAAAAGTGTAAAATATTAAAAATAATAAAATAAAAATAATAATAAATAAAAAAGTAATAATAAAATTTACAGTAACTGAGATAATAATGATGTAATTATGCAGTAATCGATATCACTGATGGAAAATTGATATAATTTCAAATGTTACGCATTTTTTCATCAAATCTTTTCTTCGTTACAGTGGAAACAACAATCGCGCAGCTTGTTCAAATTAAACGCAGTTCTGTGACTTACCAATTAAAATCCACGAAAAATATCTATCCGTTGACAAAATAAGGAAAACGCACGAGCGATCTATACAAACAGCTGGCTCGCAGAGAAAACAAGCAGAATTTCTCGAGGGAAATAGCTAACAAACGTAAACAACGGATAATAATAATCATGTAATTAACGAATACCTTTCTGTTCGAGATACAAATTTCAACACTTTACACTGGTAGAAAAAGAAGAAAATGGATATATCTCCATAAGAATAATAATTAATTTTGTTTTCCGCATTCATCGCAGCGAAATTTAAATATAATTAATAAACCACGAGAGCAAAAACTGACTTAAAAAAACACGTATGAAAAAAAAAAGAAATGTCTCCATAAGAATAACAATTTTATTTTCCAAATTCGTTGCAGCAAAATTCGGATATAATTAATAAATCACGAGAACAAAATCTATGATTTAAAAACAAGCATGAAAAAAAAAGAAGGCAATACCTCCGTAAGAGTCATAATTCATTTTATTCTCCACACTCGTTGCAGCAAAATTCAAAATTAAAGCAAGAAAAATTAGTATAGCTTGGAAACATACTGAATAATATATGTATATTTCGCTGGATTTTCCGGTCAGGTCCATTAACGCTCGAACAATGTAACATTCATTTGCCATTTACTCGAAATGCATTATAATGGAGGGCAGGTCCGGCGTGCTTTCGTTCGAAGCAATTTCTCCGAGACAAACACTTCGCTGAACTCGGTTGTTTAGTTTCATCGACGCGAGCACCGAACAAAATTTCATTCGAACAATAAACCCCGTCGAATGAAAAATAATTCCCCCAGCAACGTTGTTTCCATTCGTCCTCCGGAACGTGGTAATTTACTCCCGCAGAACAGAAACGGTAATTTCTTTCGATTAAAAATTTCACTTTCCACGATCTGTCCATAACATTGCGACAATTTCACGTACACGTGGTCCAAACTGCATCCCAAAATGTTGTTACATTCCGTTGCTTGCTAATACCGTGTTTCACGTTTAACGAGGGGAACAATGTACCGAAACGATACGTAACAATAACGAACGAGCAAAAGGACAGCGTTTGCTTGCAAAATGTAATTTTAACAAAGCTTTGAGGCTGGACACGAGACGACTTCCAGGCTGGAAGGCAGCGTCTGTTACAAAGGAGAAACTGGCAAACCGGTTGCCACAAGGCTCGGCCACCACTATAAACGCGTTATCAGAAGGAACGTGTATTGCCGTGCGTGAAGATTTCGCCACGGTAAAAATTGATATCGCGAAACGCAGCCTGGACATGTACGGAGATGACGACGAAAGTGGAGATAAATTCTGATTGGTTATTTTTCTCTTTTTTCTTTCTTTCAGTACGGTGGTACAATTTTTGCGATACCACTTCTGTTTCACAATTGGGCCGGTGATTACGAAAGTGGCCTGATAAAAAATCATTTTTTAGAAACTGCCTGGACAATTGTTCCTATATTTATTCTGATTTTTATATGTTCTCCTTCTTTGAAAATTTTGTATTATATGGATGGATTATTAAGACCTTATTTTTCAGTTAGAACTGTAGGAGTCGTGTATTTTTCGTTTCGAGATACATTTTGGAACTTTCCCTTTTCAGGACAGCAGCGAAATTCACGAAACGCTCGTTATTTTCAGCGTTTCTTATCTTGACCCCTTAACCTATGATTTCTTTTCTGACTGTGCGTCTAAGCGTCGGCCATTTTGTTTTCAGGACTGTGTCAGGTGACAAAAGCTAGTCTGTTGCAGATTAATTACGTTTAGTGATCTTCAGTGTTATAAATTGAAACGAAAGTTAGGATTGCAATTAATTTTTCTTACTAATATAACCATTTTTGTCACATCTTCACCAGAATCTCTGACACGTTGTTATAAATTAAGGGGTTGATACATAACCTAAAAATGCGGTGATCCACCGTTGTCTCTATTCATTGTTCAATGACCCATCGATGGGTCACGTCAGAAAATAAGAGCAGCGATAACCCACCGTTCTGAACGCGTGAAAAAACATTTTTTCATCGTGTAATAAGATATTTCACGAAATA